AGAGGACCCAGGCACTACCTAGGACCTGGGCATGGAGGATCTTTCAGGAGCTAATGTTTTTCTGAGGGAGGTAGCCGATACGGACTGAGACAATCAGTTTTGTTCTGTAGTCTGTCATGTCGAGCTAGCAGGGTTCATCATAATGTTGCACCAGAAGCTTCTGCCCTAGTAGCGAGCCCTATTCTCCAGCTCCCTCGCTGTGTTTTTCTGGAAATTTCATTCTTTGCGATCACCTACGAAACTTCAGGAGCTAATGTTTTTCTGAGGGAGGTAGCCGATACGGACTGAGACAATCAGTTTTGTTCTGTAGTCTGTCATGTCGAGCTAGCAGGGTTCATCATAATGTTGCACCAGAAGCTTCTGCCCTAGTAGCGAGCCCTATTCTCCAGCTCCCTCGCTGTGTTTTTCTGGAAATTTCATTCTTTGCGATCACCTACGAAACACCCCTCGCTGCAGGCAGGCCACCCCGTTCCCTGGCTCACCTTCGCCACGCAAGCGTCACGACAGCACCGCCGCCCAGGCAAACAGTCGCTCCCCCCCACCCCATCCATTTTGCTATTTTAAAAGCAGCAGTAGGCACATGGGAAGTGAATTATGCCACCCTTCAAAGCGTGAGCAATGCAGTAACCTTATACACCACCGCACTGGACGGCCAACTCGGTGGCATGCTTGGTTGGATGCGTTAATAAATGACTGTCAGAGGCGGAGGGGTGGAGTGGATGCAGGTGGATTCAAGCTATTCAGTTGCCTGAGTCTCCGCCTTGCCATCAATCATTCATATTAAAACATCCTTAACCAGCAGCAGCATCAGTTAGCATCCTCCCCCCCTCCCATCACTGGCAGAAAAGGCTTCATGCACAGAATGGCTCCTCTGGATCTGTTATTCTTCCAGCCCCAGTCTTCTGACCTGGCACCAAAGAGAAAGGTCTCAGCAAGCTATTCAGTTGCCTGAGTCTCCGCCTTGCCATCAATCATTCATATTAAAACATCCTTAACCAGCAGCAGCATCAGTTAGCATCCTCCCCCCCTCCCATCACTGGCAGAAAAGGCTTCATGCACAGAATGGCTCCTCTGGATCTGTTATTCTTCCAGCCCCAGTCTTCTGACCTGGCACCAAAGAGAAAGGTCTCAGCTAGGGCCGAGGGTCCCTATTCGGCTCCCTGCCCCTCCAGGCTTCCCCACCTCTCCC